GAGATGAATGAATGCATATTCATATTTATTTTAGAACTACAGTAACATCTTCTGATTTCTCTCAACATGGGGACAGGAGAGCTGTTAATCAATAAATTGGAAAAAAAAAGTAACTTGCGTTACTTATTTGAAAAAGTAACTCCGATATTCTCTTGTAAATTAAAAAGTAATGCGTTACTTTACTAGTTACTTGAAAAAAGTAATCTGACTATGTAACTCGCGTTACTTGTAATGCGTTACCCCCAACACTGGTTAGGACAGTATTTGGCTAAAAAACAACATTTGAAAATCTGGAATCTGAGGGTGCAAAAATATCTAAATATTGAGAAAATCGCCTTTAAAGTTGACCAAATTAAGTTAGGTCAACATTGACACTCACACAGCCCTCAGGAGCCACTGTACCTCTGTATGAACCATGCAGTTTTTGTGCGTATGCGTGTCATGTATCTGATAACAGATGACTGCAGACACTGAAGGAGAGAGGGTCTGTCAGTGGACTTTAGTTTTTTTTGTGAGGCTTGTCTTGGCATGTGAGTGTGTGTTATATAAGGTAAGGGTGAGCTGATAACAGTAGGAGGTGTGAAGAGTATGGCTCCCACAGGCGCTCTGTCCACTGCCATCAGATCACTTATTAAAGACCCTCATACACACACATGCATTCTCCCAACGACCTGTCTACGTATATTAGTGCTCCAGGTTGCATCAGCAGAACACCCGATCTGATCTAAATTCCATCAGTTTTCCCTCCTGCGGTCCTGTGAACGAGTGCACTGAATAAAGAAGTTGCTTTCCATAACATGATCCACAATTTCCATTAGAAATGTCAGGACATTACAATGACAACAGGCTGAATATAGGAGTGTAATATAAAGTGTGAATATAGTCACAGTGTCTGAATATAAACTAATGAGGATATTACTGCATATACTGTCGGACGTTGTTGCCTGCAGTGCCGGGCCTTCACGGATCACTAGATAGTGTGCTTGTGTGTGTGCCTAGAAATTTGTGCCTGGATTTTGTTTGTCTTCAGGGCTTATGCATTGAATGTGCATTGGTGTATTTTGCCCTTCACTGACGTGTAGTTGTTTATATTGGGGTCGATGTGTGTTTGCGAACTGAATATATTGTATGTATAAGAGTACTGTTTGTAGAAAGACAGACGATCGATTGTCACTCATTTCAGTATTGACAAAATCTATGCCTATGACCGATTTTAACTTATTTTAAAACATAGGAACTGAATAAAAATGAGTATAATGGTATAAAAACAGTGTGTTTAGCCAATCTTGAAAACTAAAAAGAAGTAGCACCACATTTATTCATTTTTAGTTCTATTTACCTTAGAGAAGTCTGGTTGTTTATGTAGGTACTAAAAGCTTGAGGTCAGTAAGATTGTTTTTGAAAGAAATTAATACTTTTATTCAGCAAGGATGCATTAAAATTATTCAATTCAATTCAATTCAAGTTTATTTGTATAGCGCTTTTCACAATACAAATCATTGCAAAGCAGCTTTCGGACAGGTAGGATCTAAACCATCTTAAAGCCTGCCCTTGAAAATGATCAAAAGTGACATTAAAGACTTTATAATATTACCAAAGATTTCAAATAAATGCTGTTCTTTTGGTTTCCAGCAAAAATATTAAGCAGGACAACTGTTTTCAAAATTGATAATAAGAAGAAATGTTTCTTGAGCAGCAAATCAGCATGTTAGAAGGATTTCTCAAGGATCATGTGACACTGAAGACTCAGCTTCAGCTTATGCAAATTCAGCTTTGCATCACAGGAATAAATGACATTTTAAAATATATTCAAACAGAAAACTGGTCTTTTAAATTGTAATAATATTTCACAATATTACTGTTTTTTTGTTTAAATAAAATGAGTATAAGAGACTTCTTTCAAAACATACAATCTCAGTAGTGTTTGTTTTTACACCAATGCTAGAATGTTTTAGCACTCTGAATTTATTATACTTAATAACTTAAAATGTGTAAATGTTAAAATTTGCTCGTAACATTGAGTAGTCAAATAGTAATCAAATCACATATTGATATTGATGTTTATATATACGATATGTTGCAGATATTTGAGTGGCTGTGTTATTTTCTTTGATATTTTCATGTGTTCATTTCAGAAATCTTTTATTTGTCCGGTGTTAACACTTACATGTCCACTGGATCTGTGAAAGGTTGACGGTAGATGATGACAGTGTTGCTGGGAAAGGGATCTGGGCTGATGGGGACATTGGGTTCTGGTGTGTGTGCTGCATCCCAAAGGGAGTGTTGAGTTGCTCGCTGCATTGGTGTTCTGCAGCGGTTTCCAAAAACATGATACTGCTTTGCTCCCTCCCTCCCCTGCCTTTTTCTACCACATCATGTTTTTTTTTCCTCTGTGTGATTAACAGAGAGGCAGTAAAGGTCAGTCTACTTCAAAATGATGCTGTGTTTGGCTGTCAGAGCACAGCCGCATGTCCATTGCTCTGTGAACCCATTTGTTGTTGATTTTAATCCACTTACTGTATAGGCTGAAAAATCGTGTTCAGCATGACACAACTTCTATATTGTAAAGATGGAGATTGAACTATAGCCTTATGTAGATATGTAGATGTGTATAAGTGTTTTTCTTCAGTTAGCTGTACTTTTGGGCGCCTATCGTATAGGATATGCACATTCTCTTGACACTTGACTATATACACTACCATTCAAAGGTTTGGGTCAGTAATGTTTTTTTTTTTTTTAAGAAATTAATATTTTTATTCTGCAAGAATGCATTACATTTATCAAATTTGGCAGTAAAGACATTTTTAATGTATTAAAAATGTTTTGTTTAAACAAAAAATATGGCACTTTTCTATCCATCAAAGAATCCTAAAAAAATGTTTCATGCTTTCCAGAAAATATATTCAAAAGAGAAAACAGTCATTTTAAATTGCAATAATATTTTACATTTACTGTTTTTACTGTATTTCTGGTCGAATAAATGGAGCAGTGGTGAGCATAAAAGACTAAATCTTACTAACCCCAATATTTTAAATTGTAGTGTAAATATTTATATAATAAATATATTAATATCAAATATAAATATTATATAAATGGCAAAGTGTGAAGTGACCAAGTGTAAATACCCCCTTTGAGTATATGAATCTATATTTAAACTATAGCTGTTAAAGCATTTGTCACATTATGTTGTGTAATGGATATTTTTATTTTATTTTATTTTTAATTTTTATGTCAATTTACTCTAAATGTATAAAAATTAAAATAAATGGATTGTTAAAGTTCTAAACAACTAAGCATTCTGGTATGATTCTAATGACAGAGAAATTAAAATGAATAATAATATTAATAATAATTAAAATCGTTGACACACAGAACACTCTGAGGAGCAAAAGGCTTCAAAAGTCTTCATTTGCTCCCCATTATCTCATTGCTGTCTAGAAGAAACAATTAAGATTTCATTTGTGATTTTTCTCTCATATACTATATATCACAATGTCCAAATCAGGCCCGATTTATCATACTATTTCAGACACAGATGGCTCAGCATACTTGCAACAGAAGAGAAAGTAAGTAAGTGTAGTGTGAGTGAGCAGTGATTGTGTTTAAGGTCATTGGGAAGGTCTAGTGGTGTTGGAGATATAGCTGTTCACAGGACTCGCAGTTCACATCCTATAGCATTTCTGTCACATGGACATCAGCGGCGAAATGCACAGCCTTTAGTAACACAATAGCAGCCTAAATGGCTATTCTGAAAGAGATCCCGCTCCGCACATTATTTATTCATACTGCTGGTCACTGCAACCTTGGGCCTGATCAGAGAGAGAGTGAGAGAGAAGAACAAAGAAAAAAAAAAGGGGGATTGGTATAGAAGTTTGAGATGAGGGGAGTAGAAGGAGGGGTTGTCTGGGTTTAGTTTCTGTCCTTGAGAGTGCAGTGCAGAAGGATCAATAAACTTCTGAAAACAGAAAGATCAGATGGCAAAAAAAATCACTCCACACCACATTCTGATCAAGACACAAGGTCATACGACAAAAGAGAGACAGAGCGCAGAAAACACAGGCCAAAACAACTGTTACAACTCTATCATCCATCCGTCCGTCCATCAGTGTTAATTTCGTTGACGAAAAATTTTCGTCATAATTTTTGTCAACGACATTTTTTTCACCAACGACAACGAGACGATAGCGAACTGTGTCAATGAATAAAAACGAGACGAAAATGTTAGGGAGGGACGATTTGGGATTGGGAAGAGATTCATTCAGAACGAATCTGCTGCGTGGTTAGGAGGTTAGATGCATACATATGAACTTATGGGTTTCTTATGGCGGAACATAAGCTAAGAC